CGGACGCGGAGCGGGCCTCGCGCGACCGCTCCGCCGCGTCGGCCGCCGGCGGCGCGGCCATCGCGCCGCGGCCGCCGGCGGAGCTGCCGCCCGCGCGGCCGCCGAAGCGCCGGGGCGTCCGGGCCCCCACGCTCATGCGGAAGGTGTCCGTCGAGGACGTCGCGGCGGCCGACATCCAGAAGCTCGCGCGGGGCAAGTCGACGCGGAGCACGCCGCGGGGCACGCCCGACGCGCCGCCGTGGCCGGCGTCGCCGCGGCCCTGCGCGGCCTGCGGCGCGCTGGTCCGAGACCGCGACGCCGCGCGCGAGGAGCTCGCGGCGGCGCGCGCCGTCTGGGCCGCGGAGAAGGCCGCGCTCGTCGCCGCGCTCCAGAAGGCGAGCGCCGCGCTCGCGCGGTCGCCGACGAAGTCGCCGGCGCCGCGGCGCTCGCGCCCGTCCTTCGACGACGACGGCGGGGGCCTGCCCCAGATAGACGCGCGCGGGCCGACGCCGTCGAAGCTCCGGGCGCTCCGCGCGCGGAAGCTCGGGAGGTCGCCCGCGAGCTCGCCGACGCGCGAGGCGAGCTCGCCGGCGCGCCAAGCGACGCTCCCCGGGCCCCGCTACTAGTAGCCGTTAGCCCAGTCCGCGACGTCGTCGATGGGCTCGAGCGCGGCCGTCGTGTCCACGTAGACGACCGCGTCGTACTGCTCGGCCATGTTCGAGTCGATGTAGTGGCGCGTGCGCTCGTCGTCGCGGAGGTAGTGGACGCCGACGAAGCGCTGGGGCCGCGTCTCCCGCAGCAGGCCGACGACCCGCGCGTCGTCCGGCAGCGGCCGCCGGAGGTCGACGCACTTGGGGCCCGGGTAATACCGAAAATTGTCGCGGAGCACGCGCTCGCAGGACCCGGGCAGCGCGGGCGCGAGGGTCATGCGCTTCGGTGTGCGCGACCCGTCGGGCATCGCCGTCACCGCGCCCTGGAACGTCGAGAACCCCAGGATGCGCACGGCCGCGCCGAACGTCTCCCGCGCGAGGTAGCCGACGTTCCACTGCGACCCCGTCGCCGTCTGCCGCCCGTCGCCGACGTGCGAGTTGTGCGCGAAGACGACGATGCGCGGCGGCGCGCCGTGGATCATCTCGAGCTGGTTCCGCAGCCGCAGCAGCGCGTTCGCCATGTGCTGGTCGCGCACGGACCACGTCACGTCCGGCTCCGTGAGCCTCTTGGAGTAGAACTGCTGGGCCGACACGACGACCTCGGCGTGCTGCTCCGCGGCGAAGTGGTCCGCGGCGTCGACGCCCGCGTCCCAGTAGTCGTAGCGGTTCGCCTGGAGCTGGCTCAGCAGCGCCTCGCACGCCGCGCGGAGCGCGTCCGCGTGGTCCGCGGCGCCGCGCGCGTCCGACCGCGCCTCCGACGCGCAGGCGACGCTGTACTCGTCGGGCGACGAGAAGAGGAACGGCGCCAACGCGTGCTTCGCCGTGTCCGCGACGTGCGGGTCCACGGAGTCGAGGTAGTCGACGACCGCCCGCGCGGACCGGTCGAGGCAGAAGAGGTCGAGCCCGACGAAGCCGCAGAGCGGCGCGCCCGTACTCGCCGCCGCCTCGTTGTGGGCCCGCATCCACTCCACGAAGGCCAGCACCTCCTTGTTCCGCCAGAGCCACGGCGTCGTGCCCTCGGAGCCGTCGCCCGCGACGAAGCCGCGGAGCGCGAGCTCCGCGGAGGCGTCGCCGCCCTTGCCGCGCACGTAGTCGTCGACGCGCCGGCACGAACTGAAGTCGCCCTCGACGGCGACGACCGTGTAGCCGTAGAGCTCCACGAGGCTCTTGGCCAACGCGATGCGGATCGCGTAGTAGTCCGCCTGGGCAGCACAAGGGTGATTCAACGTCGCTTCAACGTGAGTGTTCCGCGCGCGCGCGTTCCGGAACAAGCATCTACGCGTCGAGACCGTCCCGAGAGATGATCGCTCGTCCAAAAATCAGCCGAAACGAGTGGAAAACGGCCGAGAAAGGAGCCTTTGAAGTTGGGCATGTCGCTCTCTTGTGCTGCCCCGTAGTCCGCGGTGCCGTGCGTCGACTCGCCCAGGAGGCAGATCTCCGTCTCCGGCCCGACGGCGTCGAGCGCGGCGTCGATCCACGACGCGCGCCGCCCGCCGCGCTCCGCGTGGTCCAGGTCGCCGTCGTCGAAGGACGCCACGGGCGACCCGTCGTCGAGCGCGACGCCCCAGCGCCGCTCGCCGGCGTTCCACAGCACCACGACGCCCTCGGCGCACTCGAGGCCGCCGCGGCTCGCGCCCGCGACGACGACGCGCGCGCCGACGAAGAGCCGCTTCGCGTTCTCCGGCTCCGCGTCGCGCGCGGCCGCGGCCGCCGCGGGCGCGCCCGGCCGCGTCGGCGCGCGCTGGCTGAAGAGGCCCGGCGGCGGCGCGTCGCTCGAGGAGCCCGACAGCGGCCGCGGCCGGCCCGGCGCGACGCGCTCCGCCGGGTGCTCGCGCGGCGCCTCGCCGGACTCGCCGAGGCTCAGCGCGAGCGCGCGCGCGACGTCCTCGTCCTCGGCGCCCTCGCTGAGCGCGAGGAGGCGCAGGCTGCACCAGCCGGCCACGGGCGCGCTCAGCCGCGCGCGCTCGACGACGCGGCCGCTGCGCAGGACCTCGCGCGTCTCGACCACCAACACCGACGCGCCGAACTTGACCTCCCCGACGGCGCTCGAGTCGAGCGACGCGTCGCCGCGCACGACGACGCCGCTCTTGCCCGTGACGACGAAGGGCCGCCCCAGCGCCGCGTCGTCGAGCGGCGGCGCGAAGCCCGGGGGCAGCCCCATGGCCGTGCCCCGCCGGAGCTCCTCCTGGAAGCCGCCGGCGGGCGGCGCGGCGGAGCGATTGCCGCCGAAGAGGCCCGGCGGCGCGCCGATGGTACCCGGGGGCCGGTCCGGCTCGAGGTCGTCGATGGACAGCTTGATCGTCATCGTCGCGGTCTCGCGCCGCCACCAGGTGTCGGAGAGGGCGGGCTGCACTCAAATTCGCGAAATCTTCGGAGCCGACGTTGCATGGGCTGAAACGTCGGGGCGGCCGGAACGTCGCAGAGCGTCGTCGGGATCGCACCAGCCATGGCGGGTCCCCAGCCGCCCGGCGGCGCCAAGCCGTCCAAGGTCGAAGGGTCTCCGAGAGCCGCCGTCCCGACGAAGCCCAAGATGAATTCGGCGCAAAAGAAGAAGAAGGAGGTGAACGACAATGGCGCTGCGACGATGCTCCAATCCCAGGTTCGGCGGCAGCAAGGGCGGAAGACCGTCGCCGAGCGTCGCGCCGAGAAGGCCGCGCGGGAGGCGGAGATCAAGCGGCAGAACGCGGAGCAGAAGAAGGCGCGCGCGTCCGTGAGCGCGAAGTCCGACATGGGTTTGAGCGAGGAGACGCTCGCGGCCCGGGAGAAGGTCGCCGCCGAGAAGGAGGCGGAGAAGAAGCGCAAGCAGGCCGAGTTGGATGCGTTGAACGCGACGCACAAGGACAACCTCGCCGCGACGGGAGCCAAGAGCGACATGGGTTTGTCGGAGGAGATGCTCGCGGCTCGGGAGAAGGTCGCCGCGGAGAAAGAGGCCGAGAAGAAGCGCAAGCAGGCCGAGCTCGACGCGTTGAACGCGACACACAAGGACAACCTCGCTGCGACGGGGGCCAAGAGCGACATGGGTTTGTCGGAGGAGATGCTCGCGGCTCGGGAGAAGGTCGCCGCGGAGAAGGAGGCCGAGAAGAAGCGCAAGCAGGCCGAGCTCGACGCGTTGAACGCGACGCACAAGGGCAACCTCGCGGCGACGGGAGCCAAGAGCGACATGGGTTTGTCGGAGGAGATGCTCGCCGCCCGCGACAAGAAGGCCGCCGAGAGCGCGGCCGACAAGCGGGCCGCCAAGGCGGAGCTCGACGCGTTGAACGCGAAGCACAAGGACAACCTGGCCAGCACGGGCGCCAAGAGTGAGATGGGCCTCTCGGCCGAGACGCTCGCCGCGCGGGAGGCCGCCGCGGCCGAGAAGAAGCGCCTCGCGGCCGAGAAGCAGTCGTCGCTCGCTTCCGCCAACGCGCAGCACTCGACGCGCCTGTCCATGACGGGGGCCAAATCCGACATGGGCCTCTCCCCCGAGATGCAGGCCGCCCGCGAGAAGAAGGCCGCCGAGAGCGCGGCCGACAAGCAGGCCGCCAAGGCCGAGCTCGACGCGTACAACGCAAAGCACAAGAGCGCGCTCTCGACGACGGGCTCGAAGACGGACCACACGCTCGTGCGGTCCGCCGAGTAAGTTCATCCCCTGTGTTCCGAGCGACCTGCTTCCCGGGGGGGAGCGCCGTTCTTAGTTTCGGCGCTCAGAGGTAGTTCGCGGGCCCGCCCTCGGGGAGGAAGAAGGCCGTGATCTCCGCGAGCATGAGCATGTCGTAGTGGCCCGCGCAGGCGTTGACGACGCGGAAGTAGTCGTTGAGCTTGTCCGTGTCGATGTCCGTGACGTACTCGCCCGCGCACTCGCAGGTCTTGCGCATCGTCGTCCGCGCGACGCGCTTGCACTTGCAGCAGCGCATGTCCTGGACGGCGTAGCGCACGGAGACGGCGTTGACGAGCTCGATGAGCTTGAGCTCGAGCTGCGCCGTGGACAGGGCGCCGCCGCACTTGGCGCAGGGCACGCGCCGCGGCAGCGGGTCGCCCTTGTCGTCGAGCTCGCGCGCGTCGCCGTTCCGCAGGTCGCGGCCCTTGCACGCGTGCAGGTCGACGTCGAGCGTCGCGTCGCAGTGCGGGCAGATGACGTTGGCCACGTTGACGGCGATGGGCCGCGGCTTGATGGCCGCCGCGGGCGCGAACTCGCGGACGCCCAGGTGCGCGAGGAGCAGCCGCCGCGCGCGCTGCACGGCGTCGTCGCAGCGGTCGTCGAGCGCGAGCGCGCGGCAGCAGAGCACGACGAAGTCGAGGGGCACGGACGTGTGGAGGAAGTCCTTGTGGAGCTCGGCGACGACGCTCAACAACTTGGACGTCGTGAACGACTGCACGAAGTCGCGCGCGTACTCGGCGTCGCGCTCCTCGTCGCCCGTCGCCGCGACGAGCGGCTTGTGGAGGAAGGCGCCGACGAGCACGGCGAACCAGTCGCGCGCCGCGTCGGGCAGGCCGTCGCTCAGGGCCCACTCGGACACGAAGCGGTCCTGCACGGCCGCGGGCGCCTTGAGCAGCTTCTGGACCTGCGAGTCCGCCGACCCCGCCGCCTCCGGCGAGTCCAGCGCCTCCTGCGAGTCGGGCTCCTCGGGCGCCTCCGCCGCCCCCACGGCCTCCTGCGACTCGTCCTCGTCCGTCGCCTTCTCCTGCGTCAACAATTCCTCCTCGTCGTCGCCGAGGATCTCGATGGCGCCGAAGTTGTGGCCGTCGAGCCAGAGCAGCGACTTGAAGTACGCGACGGGCCGCAGATGGAGGAAGCGGAAGACGGGCCGCGCCGCGACGGTGGAAATCACGAAGTCCATGTGCGACGCCGCGTGCGCCGCGTCCGTCTCGCGCGTGTTGACGACGATGGAGCCCTCGGACGCGTGGACGACCTTGACGCCCAACCGCCGGAGCTCCGCGACGAGCAGCGCGTGGACGCGGCGCGTCGCCGAGCCCACGAGGCGCCGCAGCGCCGGGTAGTGGAGCACGCTGCGCTTGTCGTGGAGCCAGCGGTCCACGTGGACGAGGAGCGCGTCCGCGACGGGGTCGCGCTTCGCGGCGACGTCGTCGATCCACGCCGCCAGCGCCGCCCGCAGCACGCGAAAGGCGTGGGCGCACTCGCCGTGCGTCGCGTGCCAGCCGCCGCCGTCGTCGAGGTCGCCCGCGTCGTCGAGCGCGTCGCTGACCATGACCGCGTTGACGCAGGACCCGAAGACGTCCAACTTCACGGACACGGTGCGGTACGCGCCCGGGTGCTCGACGACGCCGCGCTTCGACGTCGACGGCGCGTCGGCCTTCTGGGCCTTGGACCGCGAAGAAATCACGGAGCCGACCCGGTGGAAGTCGCGGAAGACGATGGGCAGCTCGTCGTCGTCGTCGCCGATGGACGAGTTGCCGTAGCGGGGCCCGCCGAGATCCGGCGCGTCCGCCTCGGAGGCCCAGAGCACGTGGCGGTGCTTCCGGAGCTCGCGGCCGAAGACGGCGTCGGCGACGGTGACGAGCGGCGCCGCGCCGAGGTTGCCGAGCGGCACGTTGCCGAAGGCTCCCAGCGTCCGCCGCTCCGCGAGCCAGCCGGGCACGCGCGCGATGCCCTCGAGCAAAGCCTTGCAGGCGTGGGACTGCCAGCCGAGGAGCGGGTAGTCGCAGTCCGCCTCGCGGAAGGGCACCTCGACGTTCGCGAAGTCGCCGAGCGACGGCAGCGACCGCCGCAAGCTCGCCGCGGAGCTCGACGACTCGACGATGACGACGGTCGGGCCCCGGCGGTCCGCCGCGTAGGACGCCAGGGCCGTCGACGCCGCGGCGAGCGCCGAGCTCTCGTGCTTGGCGACCTCCGCGCGGTCGACGGTCAGCGGGCCGAACTCCCGTTGCGTCTCGCCGTCGTCCGCGTCGTCGCGGCCCGAGATGACGTCCCAGGTGCGCTTCAGCGCCGGCGGCCGGTCGCCCTTCTTCGCCTTGGGGTCGCCCAAGACCAGCGACGCGAGCGCGGGCTTGAGGGACCCGTCGTCCTTGGACCGCTCGAGCATCGCGAGGCCGACGAGGCACCGGCCCGTCCGCGCGCAGACGCTGTGGTAGAGGTAGCAGACCTTGACGGGCACGCCCGGGCCGTCGTCGAGCAAGCCGTAGCCCTCGGACGCCGGAAGGTCGGCGAGCTCGAGGTCCTCCGCGGCGACGGACTGAGCGCCCTTCGCGAGGCGCGCCTCCGTCGCCTTGGCCGCGGACGGCGCGAGGCGGCACGTGCCCCCCACGGAGAGCAAACTCCGGTACCAGTCCGGCGCCAGGCGCTCGTAGACGCCGTCGAGGCCCGGGTGGTGGAGGAAGCGCGCGAGCGCGCCGTCGTGCGCGTCGACGTCGCGCGCGGCCGCGCGGAGCTCCAACAGCTGCGCGCCGCGCCGGAGCTCGTCGCCGGGGACCGTGAGGTTGGGCGCCTTGCGGCCGCCGAAGGTGTCGCGGGCGATCTTGAGGCACGCCTCGTTGGACGACGACACGTAGAGCGTCTTCGCGACGGAGACGGCGACGCGCTGGAGGTGCCCCACGTCCGTGACGACGAACGCGTTCAACAGGCCCGGCGTCTCCGTGTCGCGCAGCTCGAGGACGCGCCAGGTGCCGCGCGTGAGGGACCGCGTCGACTGCTTGACGAGGTCGCTGACGTTGAGGCGCTTGCCCGGGCCCTTCTTCGGCGCCGCGAGCGCGCCGGGCCGCGACCGGAAGGCCTTCGTCGCCGTCGACGCCGTCGCCTTGGCGCGGCGGCGGCGCCAGCGCTGCTTGCGGTCCGCGAGCCAGGCGCGGAAGTCGGCCTCGGGCACCTTCTTGGCCGCGAGGCCGAGCTGCGGCGCGTCCTTGCCCGCGCAGAGCTCGGCCTCGGGCGCCGGCGCGTCGGGCGCGTTCGCGCCGAGGGGCCGCTTGCGCTGCGTGCCGGCGCCGGGCGTGCCGATCCTGCGCGCGACCCCGGCGCCGCCCGCCGGCGCGCCGCCGGCGATGTCCTCGAGGTCTAGGAGCTTCTTCCGGCGCTTCGTGCCGTCGTTCTCCTTCGCCGCGGCCTTGGCGAACAGATCGTCGATCTTCGTCTGCTTGCGGCCGTCGTCGCGCTCCGCGACCTTCTTGCGGAGCCACTCCGGGTGGGGCACGCGGGGCACGGGGTTCTCGACGCCCTGGAGCGCCGCGGGGATCGTGATGATCTTCCGGATCACGGCGTCCAGGCGCTCGCGGTAGTACTTCCAGTCGATGACGTCCTTGATGCCCAGGTTCTGGGCCGCCGGGTCCTTGAGCCACTTGCGCAGGTAGTGCTTGCGCACCGCGGGCTCCGCGGAGAAGATGATCGTCGGCACCGCGCGCTCGGTGACGGGCGTGCCGCGCGGCCGCTCGGAGATGACGAGCTTGCACTGGAGCCCGCTGCCCTGGATCATGTCGTCGCCGAGGAAGTCGGCGATGCGCTGCGCCGTCGTCAGCGACGTCATCTTCCGGCCCTCGTACTCCTTGACCTCGCGCGACAGCGACCGGTTCTCCGAGATCAAATCCAGCAGCTCCTCGTCGTCCATGTCGCCGCCCTTGGCGTCCATAACATCCAACCAGGCGTTGGCGACGTCGGCGACGGCCGCGTAGCACGACTCGAGCGTGTCGCCCGCGAGGAACGTGTCGAAGAGCTCGCCCTGGAACGCCTTGATGAGCTCGAGCTCGCCGCGGCGCTTGAGCTCGAAGCCCTTGAGCTCCGCGAGCGTGCCGTCGGGGTTGAAGACGGCGTAGCGCTTCTTGAGGAGCTTGCCCTCCTCCGTCGACGACGGGATGACCATGCACTTGTAGGGCCCGTCGACCTCGAAGAAGATGGAGCACTCGCTGGTCGTGTCGAAGCCGCCGGCGCCGTTGAGCGTCTGCATCTGGTGGTTCGTGTAGTTGGCGTGGACGTCGGCGTTGAGCATGCCGCAGGGGTAGGAGAAGGGCAGCTTCGACGTGGACCCGTCGGCGCCGACGATCTCGAGCGTGTAGTCCTCGGGGAACGACGACGGCAGCATGCACCAGATGCCGTCCGTGTCGAGCTCGAGGGGCCTCCCGACCTTCTCGACGAGCTCGCGCGCCTGGGTGATGAGGTTCGCGCCCGTGAGCGTGACGATGCCGGCCATGGGCATGGACCGCCACCGCGCGCCCTTGCGCATGACGTAGCCGTAGAAGCTGTTGAGGATGCACTTGTGCGCGAGCTGGAGCGAGTCGAAGAGGAGCTCCTTGTCCTCCGCGGTCTTGCGGGCCTTGGAGTCCTTGGCCGCCTCCGCTTTCACGCGCTTCTTCTTCCAGGCCTTGGTGAGGCCCTTGTACTCGTAGCGGCGGTCGCGGAACGCGCGGACCGTGTCCACGTAAAACGAGTTCTCGCGCATGCAGACGACGTCCGTGCGCGGCTCCTCCTTGACCTCGCGCGTCTTCTTGTAGACCTTTTGGGAGTAGTCCTTGAGGCGCGCCTTGAGGCGCTGGGCCTGGTCCTTCTTCGAGAGTAAGGTGTGCTGCGTGCCGTCGACGACCTCGTACTGGAGCTGGCGGTTGAGCTGGGCGACCTCGGACGGCGCGGCCGGGTTGAGCTCGCCGCGCCAGATCCAGTCCATGGGCCGCTTGCAGCCGTTGCGGTCCTGGTTGTAGTCGCAGCCCGCGCACGCGGCGCGGTCGACGATCGCCGTCGGTTGCAGCCGGTTCGTGAGGATGATGTTCGGGTACATGGCGGAGACGTCCAAATGGTAGATCTTCGGGCACTCCGTCGTCTCCGGCGCGTCGCGCAAGGCCTGCAGGGACGCGACGATCTGGGCCCGGACGTCGTCGAAGTTCGCGACCTGGTCCTTCGTCGCGCCGTCGCCCTCCGTCTTCGCGTGGAATTCCAAGTCGCGGTCGACGTTGGCGATCAGGGTCTCGAGGGCCGCGGGGTCCACGGAGAAGTGCGTCGCGATGTCGGACCGGAAGACGCCCGACTCGAGCGACTCGACGTGGCCGCCGACGTACGTCTCCGACTCGACGACGCGGCCCTCCTTGCGCAGCAGGTGGGGCTCGTTCTGCTTGTTCGGGCAGACGACGGACGCGCGGTAGGCCTCGACCATCAAGAGCGCCTCGCAGAGCGTGCCCGAGCCCTTGCGGAGCACGTCCTCGGCGCCGTTGGGGATCACCGTGCAGAGCGAGAAGATGAACAGATTCACGTAGACCTCGTACAAGTAGTAGGTCGCCACGGCGTCGGAGACGGAGTAGGCCGCCATCACGTTGGGCTGCGTGTGGGCGAACTTGACCATGTCCTCCGGGTCGACCTCGACGGGGTCGTAGCCGAGCTTGTACTTGGTCACGGCCTTGAGGCCCTGGCTGCCCTGCGGCAGGTAGGAGTCGCGCTTGACCCAGGCGAAGCAGTCGAGGTGGACGCAGCCCGCGCGGCCGCGCCACTCGCCCTGCTCGGGGTGGTTCTTGTTCTCGATGCCCAGCTCGTTCTGCAACGAGATGCCGTGCTTCTCGCAGCGGTTCGCGAGGAACGGCCAGTCGAAGAAGTCGCCGTTGTAGGTCACGAAGACGTGGGGCTTGATCTCCTTGCAGTGGTTGATGAACTTCTTCAGTAACGCGAGCTCGTCGGGCTCGTTGAAGACGGAGAAGGGGCCCGGGAACGCGGGCTTGGGCGTGTACTCGAAGTCGTCGATGTCCTCGGAGACGACCTCGCGCGAGATGATGAGGTAGCCGACGCCGTCGACCATGTAGGAGATCATGAAGACCTCGTCGACGTCGGCGTTGGGGAACTTGAGGGGCGCCTTCGTGCACTCGATGTCGAAGGCCAAAACCCGGGGCGCGGGCTTCTCGATGACGTCCTGCTGCCAGACGGCCTGGAACGCGCCCGCGACGTCCGCGCCGTCCGCGGCGTCCTCGTCGCCGCCGCCCTTGGCCGCGTCGGGGCTCACGGTGTGCCAGGCGCCGACGCGAATATTCAAATCGATGGCCGCGCGCATGTAGTAGGGCACGTCGTACTCGCGGATCTCGTCGAGCATGTCGAGCACGTCCTCGGGCGCGGACCGCGCCTCGCCCGCGGCGCCGCCGCCGCTCGACCGCGCCTCGGCCTCGAAGCGGTCCCGGTTCGCCCAGACGACGGGCGCGAGCTCGCGCTTCACGTTCATGAGCTCGCGGACGTTGTCGAAGCTCAGCTTTAAATAGGTCCGCTTCGCGCCCGCGACGTGGTTCGGCGCGTCGAGGTCCTCCAGCGTCACGGCCTCGACGACGCAGCCCTCGACCTCGAAGCGCCGCGCCAGCGACGACCGCACCTGCTCGCCGAAGGACGCGAACTTGAGCGCGACGGCGACGTAGAAGTACGGCGCGTGCGCGATCGTGACCCGGAAGTTCGACTTCGCGTCCTTGCTCAGCAGGAAGAGCTCGAGCCCGGCGAGCTCGCTGTCGCCGCGCTGGAACGTCGTCGGCACCATGTTCAACAGCCAGCCGAGCCGCGGCGTCGGACCTAAAACGCGAGGGTGGGTTTGATCGAGTGCGCGCGCGCGCGTCCGGCGCCGGCGGTGCACCGCTGTAGTCCTCGTAGTCATTCCAGCCCTCCTCCTCCATCTGCGCCATCAGGCCTTGCAAGGCGCGCCCTCAAGCGCCAAGCACGGCAGGCGCGACGAGAGCGGCCAAATGTGCTCTCAGATTTTGAACTCGAGGAGCTCCTTCCGGACATTGGCATCGCGTCAACATCGTGCGCAGGAGCGATCAACGTACATCTAGGCCGGCCCATAGGAATAATTAATAATTAATTAATAATACATTTCGGCCCGGCGCAGCGAGATTCATTAGTCGTCCATAGAGGCTGTGCATCGACCGCGCGCGCGTCGACCGTGAGCGCGTCGATCGCGCGGTGAAATCGCGGCCAAAATTCGTTTATAATTTGACCTTTCGCAAAGTTTCCTTTGCTGATTTGGTAAACTCCGAGAGGCCACCGTCTAGGACTTCGGCGATATCGATGGAGTAGGCTTTCAATGCATGGAAATCAGCGGAGCCAGCCGGCACATCAAGTCTTCGCACTCTTCCTCCGTCTTGCAGTGGGCGAGTTCCAGGTCCAACGACGCGCCGGCGGCGCCTGGGCCACCAACAGCCACTACTTGTTCGTCGGGAGCGAGTATATTGGCTACGAGCACGGCCACGCGGAGTACGAGCCGTTGATCATCCGCGGCCTCACGGACGTCGACGTCGAGGGCCAGGCGCTGGTGGTCATCGCGGAGTGGCCCAAGGGCGCCAAGCTCACCCGATCTCTCCCCGCGTCGCCGAGCCGTCGCCGTACCGCGCCGAGCCGCGATGCGCGACGACACGTCGCAGAGGCTCGCGTCGAACGCGACCCCGTCGAGCGCGGACGCGGACGCGCGCTTAACGCGCGCGCGCGGAAGCGTCGCCGAGGCCAAAGTTTCCCCCACTTTGCACCGCTCTCCGGGCTGATCTCGAGGCCACCTCGACAACAGCTTCGCCATGCTGCTGTCCCGCGCCGCTCTCGTCGCGCGGCGCAGCGTGCGCCTGCGCGCGCTCTCCATAAAAACGACGAATCCGCCGCCCGCGAGCAGCCCCGAGCGCCTCGCCGGCGGCGAGGCCGTCGGGCTCAGCGACGAGCTCGAGGAGAAGGCGAGCGGCCGCTGGCGGGAGCTCGCGGCGCAGCACCGCGTCGTGCCATCGGACGAGGCCGTGCGGAAGAAGCGGCTCATCTACCGGTCGAAGCAGCGCGGCTGGCTCGAGGTGGACCTGCTCCTCGGGACCTGGGCCGTCGAGAACGTCGACGGGCTGACGTCGGCGGAGTGCGACGAGTACGAGGACATCCTCAACTGCGAGACCATCGACATCTTCAACTTCATCACGGGCAAGGACCCCGTGCCGCCGCGCCTCGACACGGCCATGATGAAGCGGCTCCAGGACTACTGCGACTCGACGCCGCTCGGCACGGTGCCGAACGAGTACGCCGCGAAGAAGGCCGAGGCGAACCTGACCTAGTGCGTGCGTCCCCCCCGTAATCTTACGCGTCGAGCAGCGGGAGCGGCGCGGACGCCGCCCAGGCGAGGTCCTCTGGTCGTGAACGTTACGCGTCGAGGAGCAGCGCGGACGACGCCCAGGCGAGGTCCTCTGTCAACGTTACGCGTCGAGCAGCGGGAGCAGCGCGGACGACGCCCAGGCGAGGTCCTCGGCCGTGCGGCCCCAGAACACGTTGGCCGCGGCGGACCCCTGCGCGACCCACCGGTGGTGCGGGAACGCGTCGGCCATGAAGGCCAGCGCGTCGCGCACGCGGCACTCGCCGACGTGGTGTGCGACGCCGTCGCCGACCATGCACTCGATCGCGACGACGCGGAAATAGCGCCGGAGGTTCGCCGCGCCGGCCCCCCGCAGCACGTCGAGGTCCGCGCCCTCGGCGTCGACCTTCAAGACGTGGTGGCCGCGCGCGAGCAGCTTCGCGTCGACGAAGTCGAAGAACGTCGCCAGCGCGACCACGGGCACGTCGACGGCCGCGCGGCTCTCGTGGCAGGCGGCGCGGTTCTTCGGGCTCGTCGCGAGCGTCGACCCGCACGCGGGCGCGCCGCTCAAATGGAACGGCGCGACGCCGTCCGCCGCGCCGGCGGCGACGGGCACGACGTGGCGCCGCCGCCGCACGTCCTCGGGCAGCCGCCACCAGTTGCGCTGGAGCCAGCCGATGTTCTCGACGAGGGGCTCGAAGGCGACGACGGCGACGGCCGGGTCGCCGAGCATGCCGCGCTCGAACGCGCGCGCGGAGCGCTGGAACGCGAGCGACGCCTTCGCGCCGACGTCGAGGACGAGCGTCGTCACGTTCGGCGCGAAGCGAATCACGCGTTTCTGCGTCGGGTCGACGCGTCCGCCCGCGTTGTGCTTCAGGTGTTTCTGCACTCCCGGCGCGACGAGTGTGAACGCCGCGGGCAGGATGAACCGCATGAGGTGTGTGCCCGCGTCGCACTCGGTCACTTGTTTCGCGCGGTGCGCGCGGCGGGCGACGGCGACGAGCGCGCCGACGAGGAGGGCCAAGACAAAGCAGAAGACCGCGCGAACTGCGGTCGCGCCGGCGCGGCCAGGAGCTGCCGCGCTGCCGTCGCGTCGAACTGCGTGATTGCTCAGCCGTCTTTTTGGCCGCAGCAGATCCATGCCCACGCGCATCGACACGCGATGCGAACAAAGCTCCACACCAGTCCAAGCTGGTTCAGCGATCGCTTTGAAGTTCTGGTTGCTGTGGCAGCTCGAGCTCCGATGCGAGCAGCTCTCCTGACGATGCTCGCGCTCGTCCGAAGTACGGCCTTCAACCGCAGAACGCTCGTGCGCTGCGGGAGCACCACAACACCGACGCCCTTCGAGCGCACGAAGGCGGGCATCCCCCACGGCGTCTGTGCGGTCTACAAGCCGCCCGGCTGGAGCAGCGCGAACGTCGTCGCCAAACTGCGCGGCGTGCTCGAGCGGGCCATCAAGATCCCGGGCCAGAAGAAGTTCAAGGTAAAAGTCGGCCACGGCGGCACGCTCGACCCGCTCGCGCGCGGCGTCCTCGTCGTCGGCGTCGGCCGCGGCTGCCGCGAGATGCAGGGCTACCTCAAGGGCGCGAAGCGCTACCGCGCCGTCGCCGAGCTCGGCAAGGAGACGGACACGCTGGACGCGGAGGGCGCCGTCGTCGAGGAGGCGCCCTTTGACCACGTCACTCTGGACGCGTTGGAGGCCGCGCTGCCGGCTTTCACGGGCGACATCCGCCAGACGCCGCCGATGTACAGCGCGCTCCACCACGAGGGCAAGCGCCTCTACGAGCTCGCGCGCGAGGGCATCGAGGTCGAGCGCGAGAGCCGGCCCGTGACCATCTCGAGGCTCGCGCTCGACGATCGCGGCGTCGGCGCCGTCGCGGGGCCGCTCGGTCTGCCGCACTTCGGCCTCGACGTCGAGTGCTCCGGCGGCACCTACATCCGCACGCTCATCAGCGACCTCGCGCGCCACGAGGCCGTGAAGTCCGTGGCCCACATGGTCGAGCTCGAGCGCACGAAGCAGGGGCCCTTCGAGCTCGGCGACTGCCTCCACGAGGCCGACTGGGACTTCGACGCGATCTGCCAGCATTTGGTGGACTCGGCGGCCATACCGGCGCGAGTGTCCTAAACGAACCGAGCTGACGATAAACACAAAAAGGGGCGGGGGGCCTACTGGATGACGCCGAACGTGTCGTGGCGCTGCGAGTCGCGCGCGCGGAGCGGCTGCGGCAGGGAGAGGTTGTTGGCGATGCGGTTGAGCATGGCCGTGGTGACCTTGATGTCCATGGCGCGGCCCGGGAGCCCCGCGTCGCCGAGCGCCGCGCGGACGCCCGCGCGCGACTCGTCGAGCGACGCCTCGCCCGGCTTGGACGACCGGCGCCGCTCGTCGGACGCGGTGCGCTTGCGGTGGCCCTCGTCGGCCTCGTCGCTCGTCAGCGCCGCCAGGAGGCTGAAGGTCATGTCCGGCCGCTCGCAGACCGCGAGCACGTGGGGCTCGAGCGTCGCGAGCATCGCGAGCGCGACTCGATGGACGACCTTCCAGTTCCGCTCGAAGAGGAGGACCGTCCACGCGCGGTCCAGCGACGCCGTCGCCAGCACGTCCACGTAGACGAAGAGGGTCTGGAGCCAGGACGCGGCGAACATCTCGAGCACGACGCCCTGCGCGCAGAGCTTCCGCGAGAGCTCGGGGCACCGCGCGTCCAACAGCAGCCGGAGCTCGAGGCACTTGCGCTTCAACAGCGGCAGGCCCGGCTCGAAGAGGCCGCGCAGGCCCAGGTCGTCCAAAAAGCAGTTCAACAACTTGTGGGCCCCGCGGGGGTCGAAGGCCGCGCCGCGCAGGCAGTACGCGGCGACGTAGTCCATGCCCTGGCAGTAGCCGACGTCGGGCCGCGCGCCCGCGATGGCCAGGCACACGTCGCGCAGCACGCCCCGGAAGGGCTCGAGCTGCGCCTTCGTCATGTCGCCCCAGGCCGGCGGCGGCGCGTCCTCCCGAAACCCCGGCGGCCACTCGTCCGGCGGCGCGGCGCCGCGCCAGAGCCGCCGCAGCGGCGTCCGCGCGACGTCGACGTCGACGGCGCCCGCGTGCCTGCCCGCGCGGCCCTGCTCCACGAGCTCCGCGAAGGGCTTGACGGCCGCGTTGCGCGCCGCCTCGGCCTTGTGCAAATTCAGGCTCTCGGCGATCGCGCGGCCGCGCGGGTCCGCCATCAGCCCGCCGTCGGCCGCGTTCTCCGGGTCGCCCATGGCGCCCGACGTGTCCAAAAAGTCGACGGCGGCGTCCTCGAGCGCGGACCCCAGGGGCCGCCGCCGCTTGTCCGCGAGGCTCAGCCAGAGGCCCGCGCACGCGACGCTTCCGGACGCGGGCACGGCGCCGAACCGCAGCGTCCACTTCCAGAGCTTGCGCCCGCGGCGGTCCCGCTCGAGCTTGGACCGCCACCGGCGGCAGACGACGCCGCAGAGGGCTAGAGTTTTGGAGCAGCCGCAGTGGGCCAGCACGCGCTGCAGGACGCGGTCCGCGGTCTCCGACAACGCGCGGTCGCCGAGGCCGCTCCGCTTCTTCCGCGGCGGCCGGCCCTTCTCCCGGCGCCGGTGGGGTGTTGCTAAACTTCGCAGCTTGCCCGGCGTCGCCTGGTCGGGCCCGCCCGCCGCGTCGGGCGCCGCGGCCTCGGGCGACGACGTCGAGAGCTCGACCTCCTCGACGGTCGCGACCTGCCGCGCCTCGTCGCCCGACTCGTCGTCGTCGACGTCCTTCTTCGGCGTCTCCACGACCTCCAGCGCGGGCGTCGGCGGCGGCTGGGACGCCGTCGCCGCGGCGAAGAAGCCGTCGTACTCCGACGGCGACTGCCCGAGCGGCGCGTAGTCGTCCCCGTCGTCGTCGTCGAACGACGCGGCCTGGTAGATGTCGATGACCGTCGGCAGCACGGCGGGCGGCGCCGGGGCCTCGTCGTCGGACTCGCTGTCGTGGTCGCTGAAGCCCAGGCCAAGCAGGTCCGCCTCCTGGCCGAGCCACCGCATGACGCGCGTCGCGCCCTCCATGAACGATTCCCGCGGCGGCTCGAGGAACCGGAGGCCCCGGCGCCGCGCGTCGACGTCGGATCGTGCGAGTCTTAAGCTTCCGAGCTTGTCCATCTCGCTGTCGATGTACTTGCCGATGCGCGCCATCGCCTTTTGCGTCTGCTCGTCGGCTTTGGTGAGCGCCTTGCCCGCCTGCTCGCTGAGCCGCTGGTAGGCGCGCTCCGCCTCCAGCGCCCACTCGGGCTTCTTGTCGCCGCGCTTCAGGAGCTGGCTCAGGTAGTCGCCGGGGTCCTTCTCCTCGTCGTCGTCCGCGGCCGCGTCGTCGGGGCCCGGCGGCGTCCGCCGCCGGAGGCCGTCGACGGCCCACGTCGGCGCGCCCAGCGACAGCAGCGTCTCCCGCAGCGACGCGCGCTTCGCGGGCGTGTCCGCGTCGTTGTTGGCGTCGACGTCCACGGTGATGTCCACGGGGGCGGCCTCCTCCGCCGTTTCCGTGGTGTCCGCCTCCGGCGCCTCGGCGACGGACACGGCCACGGCGTCGTCCTGCGCGGGGGCGCTGAAGAAGCTGTAGTCCACGGACGCGTCGTCGATGATCATCTTGTGTGTCTAGCGGGCGGGCATGGTCGTCGGATTTATTGTGTAAGCGCCGGCTTTCGGCGGCCCATTTGCAAGCTCTCTCGAGCTGGATTGCCTCACTTTGCGGAGCGCGCTCCGCGGCGAGGGCGGGGGTCGGCGTGCAGAGCGTTGCGATACGAACATGGCGGCCGAGGTCTCAAATCAGCAGAGCTCTCCTCGACGAGCATGACACCAATTGCAGCCAAGGCACGTCCTACCACTATTCCAACACCAACCGTGGCTAGAGCAGAGGGTAGGACGCCGTCGGGGTTCGACGTAACAGCTTACCTAACATGTTACTTACGACTTACATTCGGCCAAAACGACTTACCTGACGGGTTACTTTCGGACTCGACGACTTACCCGGCGGCCTACCTCGGCCCGAGGCCGCGCGGGGCCCGTACTCGCGAACGGGCGGTATCTCCGGGCTCCGAACCGATGCCACGTCGGTCGTTTTGAGTCGTCTCTTCTCGTTCTCTCGGCGGATCGGAGCCCCCCCGGGGCGTGGGCGACTAGCCGCACCAAATAACACAGGAATCTCGACCACCTACGGGTCGGCGGGGCCCCGAATCGAGTACGGGGCGGATCTCGAGGCACGGAACCGGCCCTACGGCGGCAGTTTTGAGTCGAGAGGCTTCGACCGGCGGCTCTAGGAGGTTGGTTCCGTCGACGGGGCTGTCCGTGATGCCATCTAGCCATAGGTTTTTGGCACCAGAAGTGCCCGGAAAGTCGTATTCTTTGTTTCGAGGCCCGTCGAGCGGCCGTAAAATACGCATATTTTCGGCGAATCGGGTCGGCTAAAGTGGAAGCGCCGGCCTCGAGAGTCGCAACTAACATGTTCCTTGGGATCGAGACCGGTAGATTCACCATCGAGGGGTCTATTCGGAGCAGTTTCGGGCATTTACACACCCAAACTGGGCCAAAATAGGGCCAAAATACGAAAATGTCGACTTAAAATGCGGATTTTATTCTAAATTGCGCAACTCTCTCGCGTTTGGGACGGCCTTTTGTCTAACGCGTCCATCGATACCGGGCTGACGACCGGAGGAGGCCGCCTGAGGTCCTATGCCAAC